GGGAGGTATTGTTTACTCTGAGCTGCTCTCAATTTGGTTCGGCGATTCTTTTTCTATGAAAGTCTCCCAAACCAATCCCACATGTCTTCCGTGTGTCTGGGCAAGGCTTGGGTGAGCTAAACCCGATCCACGGCGTCTGACAGACCCCCAGAAATCTCCCCACCTCTGGGGCAGGTTGAGCAGCGAAGGGCGACCCGCTGGCCCAAGCGGTGCCGCCGCCGGTAGCCCAGACGGGCCCTCAAAACGCCTCGCCCAACGCCACGCTGTTCTAGGTGTGTAGGAGATGGATTTGTTGTTTATTTCCATTCATGGGGCGTAACGCAAGCAGCGCAGTGCACGCCGCCACACTTGCAGGCTCGCACACAAAGGCTGCTATTATTATTTTTATTGTTATAGTTCAAGTAGGGAGCTGCTTCAGCAGGCATAGGCTGCAGAGGGACAGGTAAAGGCTTATTCCACGCTGAAAAGAGAAGAAAGGAAACACAACGTTTCGGCTGTGGAGCCTTCTTCAGGTGTGAACGAAACGTCGTTTCCTTTATTTTCTTTTCAGCATGGAATAAACCCGTTACCTGTTCCTTATTATTATTATTATTATTATTATTATTATTATTATTATTATTATTATTATTATTATTATTATTTGGGTTGGCATTAGTAATAAGTGCACACCTAGGGTGCCTCAATAGATTCACATACCGTAGAAACTGTACAGAAGGACTTTGGACGAGCGCCACGCTGCTGGTTCTCCGCTTGTGTCTGGCAGTGTCAGCTCTGAACTCAGCCCACTTCCGACTCGCCTCGCACTTTTGTTGAAAGAAAAGTTTTACAAATTGCATTCCGTCTCCTCAGGCAAGCAAATTGTCACAGAGCTTCGCCCGGTCGCCAGGCCGCCTTGTTTTAGCAGAAAATTGCTTTGCATTAAATTCCCCCCCCCGAGCCTCCCGAATCAGTTTCGGTAACCCCCCCCCAGCGAAAAATGGAAATTCTGACCCAGCGGTTTGCGCGTGGAGGAATAAGAGACTGGGAAGAGACCGCAAGACCCTAAGTGGCTATAATTTAATTGATTTTATCATAAATCACCAACAGGAAGGCGCAAAGTGAAGAATAACTGGAGTAAATTGTTCCCTGTGTGGGACTGCGTTAGGTTTGGCAGCTCTCGATGTTTTGCATATTTCCTCGGGATTGCTGTTACTTCTTGGCTACGCTGCAGTTCCCCGGGGAATAAATAAATATACATGTAGAATTTAACTAGGGGGTTAAAGATAAATATAGATAGATTAGAAATAAACGAAAAAAAAAACAATGTATGACTCGTGTTGCCCTTGATTACTCGCCCCGGACACAGATAGCGCCATTATATGCAACGAAACATTGGAAGTGCAGTTTCAGTGTTTTTTTTTAAATTCTGGTTTTGTGTCCAGTTGGCACTTTTCTGTCCCTGGAGCAGAGGGCAGCCTGACCCCAGACCCTCCCGGCTCCCCTCAGACCTTTGTATCCATCTCTCCTGCATTGACTGTCTGTTAAAGATTACCGTCCCGGGGCCCTTGCAATTAAAAATTAACTCTGACTGGGCCCGGCTGGAGGAGGAGGGGGAGCTCCCTGTCAGGACTGTCCGTTTGCTGAGAAGCGAGCCTGAAAGATCAAAGTCCTTCTGCGGTACCTATGGATCAGGGGGATCAGAGATCCCGGGAGGACCTAGTGGGAGCTAGCATCAGCACTCCACTCAGTACAAAGTTATTCCTCGCCGGTCAGAGACGGAGTCAGGAGTGCCTTTTTACCAAGAAGGTTCACATGCGAGAAAGTAACATCACCACCGCCCCCCGCCCCCCCCCTCGCCCTGCTCTGAAGTCCAAATGAAGCTCTTTCCAAAGCCTTCTTGAATTACCGCGGTTGCAATCTTTACAAGTTAAAAAAGAATGAACTGGATTTGTAGTTAAATAAGAGCGCCAGGCAGTTAGCTAGGCTCTGCAGGACCCGATATTGAAGTAGGTCAGTCCAGCGAGTACTTTTAGCCCTGTGAGCGATGGGGTGCCCTTGCCCTCGGTTGCGGCTGGCAGGAAACCGCGAGAGCTTGAACTGAGGAGTTTTAATTGTAATCCCGGGATCTTTAGTAGCAGGAGAGTCTGCGTGGGTGTACAAGCCAAGCCCACCGCTCTGTTCTCTCCAGTGGGAAGCGCAGAACCTGTGTTATCACTGATATTATAGCCGGGCGACCTGGTGTCTCTCGCTGTTCCCTCCCTCTCGCTGCTTCTGAACTCCGGCGTGTGGAAGTCCTGTGTCAGGTCGCGGGGATGAGGAAGAGGTGATGTCTGGGCCGATTTCCTTCTGAAGAAGAGCTTCCCCCGCGTGGATTTCTCCCCCGCTCGGCGTGATATGCAGCTCGAGACACGGGATTAGTGCCGAAGCTCAATGAAGACTCACCTTTGCAAAGAGATGGCAAGACTATATGGAACATGTCTGGCAGGGGGAGTGGTGTGGCCGTAGAATATTATGAGGAGAGCGAAAAGACAAGACAGCCTGGAAAAGGTTCGAACTCCCGAAAGTTTATCACGACTATTGGGGGTTTTTTTTAAAAAAAAAATGTGCTCCCCACCCCAAAAAAAAGTGTTTCATTTCCGAATTCCCTTTAAAACGAGCGAATGTTGACGTATGTGGGTCACGTGAGCGCATAATTCCAGGCATTATTTTGGCATTTGGATGGAGAGGGCCTTGTTGTCTCGCGGGCTGTGTTCACCCCAGCCACTAACTCTGCTATTAACAACTGCCTGCTAATAGACAACTAATGTGATGAGGCCAGGATCGCGGAGACCGCTTGCTTACGGGAGACATTATGCGGGTTCTTTGAAAGCCTGGAATAACGGGCCGGGATTTTTACACATATATTTGGAGGCAATTCAAAAGTACTTCCGCTGATTGATCATTAATCTGGTGAGTTATTACTCGTCTACGCAAAGGTCACTCGGAGAAAGAGCTCCAATCTGTCAAACGACGGCAGGACAGGCTGCGTTCTTATTTATTTCTGCGTTTTTCGGTGCTTTTTTTTTGTTTTTGGATGCTGCTTGTGCTCCTGTTTTGGCGCTGCTCAAACTTTGCCGCGGAACGGTAGCGATTTATTTGTAGTCGGCAGGACTCCGAGAGGCGAGAGAGATAAGGGCGCTTGGTACTGTCCTTTCACAGATAACGGCAAACTTGGCAATAAAGTTGGAGAAAACAGTTTTTTGTGTGTGTGTGTGCTCTCGGCTCTGTGATTGTTTTGACGATGTGGTATTTTGGAGTTTTATCTCGGATATCGGAGCTTTGAACTTTGGCGAGGATAACAGTCGGATTTGTATCGCGCCGGGATTCGTCATTTTGTGCCCTGTTTTAAATTGATAAATTATGCATGAGTCTTTTGTTGGAGCCGTACAGCAATACACGTACCGGACTCTTAACTTTCTGCGTTATGTTCGATTTTGCCCATTTAGGCGCCGGCTAAATCTCCTTTCGTTTGCTTTATCGGCCGATTTGGTGCAGGACGGGAAGCGAGTCTTTCAGGTTGCATTGTTTTCCCGTTTCCAAACCAAACGAAACAAAATTAGGTGGTCAGTCGTCCTGCATGATGCGTCCCCCCCTCTCTTTGTTCTGCCGGGTACGGCTGAGAGCCGGGCATACGTGTGCAGTTTGTAGGGTTGGGGGCTTGTACGGGTGGCAGGAAATCTGTGTAAAGGTGTTAAAAAAGAACAACGCGGAGACCGAGAAGCTCGGCGGACTGGTGATGGAGAGGAGCCAAGCCAGCGTGTGAGTGTGCGTGCAATAAAATAGCTTTATAGCGGTATAGGCCGCAGTACGAGGGAGGTCAGGGACTCCTTCGCTTGATTTATGTGTTAGTGCAGCTGTCAGGAGCCGGGAGAGGGAGGCCGCTCAACATTTGTATTTTACTTTAATAAGCTGATATGCAAACCACCGCAAGCCACTCGATTGAATATCTGCACACTCTCACGTATATATATATACAGGCTTGTCCTTTGCCCTCGGTTATCTCCCCACACTCGCAGGCTCACGAGTATGTTGTGTGTCTCCAGAGTGGGTCTTACTTTTCCAAAAGGGTACCAGGGTTTGCAGAAAAGCTTGTGTTTTAAATTACGCCTTTTTTTCTGGTCTCTCCCTGCCACGTTACCTTCAGTCTCGAGTCTGTTTAGAACTTACATTTGGGGTCAGTTTCATTGTTTTTAATCTGTATGTTGTTGGGTTTTTTAATTAATTCGCTTAATTGCTTTTCCCCCGTTACTACGCGTTTCCGTGCCCATTCTCTTTAATTTCGTTTCAGAATTATTATTAGGTATTTATTTATTGCAAGGCCTGGATCTTTTGAAATAACGAATTGTAACAATGACCTCTGGATTACTTTTTAAACGAAATTTCCTTAACGAGGTGTAAATGTTTATATTTTTCGTGTGGTGAAAAACACGGGATTCACAAACGAGAGGACGGCTGCCGGGGCTGTTCCTCGGGAGAGCAGAACATATAGAATTGCAGAAGGAGATATATCGTGCTGGCTGATTAACTGTTTCCCCCAAGTACGCTGTTAAAACGGAAACACGATTTTTTTTTTAAAAAAAGAATAAACCAAACGGATGTGAAACGAAATATTTATTATTATTTATTTGAGGTATAAATTGTCCAGGCCAGGACAATGTGCCAATAAACGTTACACGAGAGCAGCAAGAACCGTCCCTTCTTGGCAACGATGTTTTACAAAGAGAGACACCGTGTCGCATCCTTTTTAATTGTTGGATGGCACCGTGACCCAGATGCGAGATACATTTAAATAATTTTCGATTGCATCCCAGTTATACCTGTAATCCTGAGCATAATTTAGGTTAACGATGTCTGTCGAATTCACAAGCTTTCCTGTTCCTTCCGAGTTCGATTTTTCGCTGGAGGTCGCGTGGAAATACATTTCGATTTCCCGCGACCTCTGTGATCGAATCTGTGTCTCTCTTTTTTTTTGTCTTTTCTAGTTCCTACACACCACCGAGACACGTCACTCTCGTTTAAAATCTTTGGGTGACAAACGACACAATTTCGGTAAGTCATCGGCTTTTAAAACAACAGCAACAGAAACCAACCCGAATGAATGTGTGAAAGAACTTTTCCGGGGTCGCGCTAATAAGAAAATAACGAGCTTGGGAGCTTTCAGATTTTGAGAGTCTGAGGCTTATTTCGTTTTCTGTTCTTTCTTTTCGACTTGCTAAAATGAGAAAATGTTTGGAGAATTATTATTTTTATTATATGAATATCTAAAGTGTTCGAAAATAATGAGTCGCAATGCTGGCATGTGTGCTGTGTATAGTGGTACACATTGATGCCACTATTTCTGCTATTTCTGGTTGGCTAAAAAACTGACTGTTGTGTGTCTGAACCATGAATGTTTTACTCTTTGGTGCAAAATACTGTGATGAAAACTATGGTTTCTAAAATATCAGTCACACGTATTTAGGCAGTGTGAGGGGGAACTCACCTATGGGCTAAACGCAGAGATCCCACAGTCTACAAACACACAAAGCGATCGAAATAAATATTTTGGAGTTAAGGAAGCAGGTGTTATTTCCATTATGCAATTATATTTATTCTTTTAAAAACAACAACAACAACAACAACAAAGTTACAGGTGAGATCAGGGTGTTTTTCTTTGGATCTTAAAATACTGTTCGTTCCTTAAACAGTATTCCCTGGTCGTTTCACTGTATTTAATGTTACGTAAAATATTAAATAACATAGCACAATATATTGAATATAGAAAATATTATAAAAATAAGGTTGACTATCAACACGTACAGTCGCCAAATGAGGTAGGTAGTGATGTCCGGAATGACTGGGAGTTTTCATTTCCTTACACACAGATGCATAGCGTCCCACATACCGTAAATTACTGACATATGTATGTCATAAGGCTGGTGGGACTCACAAATCATTTTTGTAATGAGACAACTTTTCTGTTTATATATAATAGCCATGTTATATGTTCAGCGATTATTCTGCCTGTAATAAATGAAAGAGACATCAAATAAAACATGACAAAATAACAAACAGCAGGACTCGAGTGCTACACGGCGCCGTGTGGTTCTACTGCTCTGCAGCCTCTCAGTGGGCTGTTCGGTAGCCCCCGGTCCGTCCGTCCGCACGTTATAATCCACACTGCAGGGAGCAATTTAACACATCCTGTCCGACTCGTCCAAACCCACTTCCCCTGGCTCCTCCGAACCCCTTCCTGGCCCGAGTTCCTCTTCTGCCGCAGTCCGTCAGCAGTCACCGGCAGCGCTGGTTAATCCACACCCAGTAGCTCCTGGCCAGTAGCTCTTCTCCTCCTGTGGGGGAAATACGGTAGACTGAAAAGGGTGTTGGTCTTTATTTCTTTCTATTTTTTTTTTAAAGATCAAAAGGGATTTGTTTTTTGCTGGGTCATACTTTTCTCTCTCTCTCTCTCGCCTTCTTCAGCCACATTTGCGAAATCGCAAACAATGCCGCCCAGAGACAAAAAACAAATGTTGCAAACTCCTAAATTTTTCCCCCGCTCTTCCTCCCACGCCGTTGCAGATCCCTTCTTTCCAGTTACCTAACACGGAATGCATCTTTTTAAAGTTGCTGTTTACCGCTGCCTAGTCTGCAAGAAGTCATAAATCTTGCGTGACCATAAACGACAAGGGGTAGCGTCCTGAATAATCAAGCAGAGAGAGAGAGAGGGGGGGAGAGGAGAAGAAAACAGCTCATATAAACACCTTCGTGCTTTCTTTCGCTTTTCCGTGGCGAGCTCCTCTTCCTTCTGCAATTCCTTCGTTTTTTTTGTCTGAAGTGCAGATTTTCTTTTCTCGTCCAACGGGTGTTACCCCCACCCCCGACCGAAAAAAAAAGACTGTAAAAACTTTTAGCACCGTCTCGCTATCAAAGTTTTTAAAAGGTGGTCTGTTGCTCAGACTTGTCCCGAGCTGTTAAATATCACAGATTGCTTATCGTCTCTTCTCTATCTCGCCTTTTTTTTCACTCCTCTTTCTACATTCTCTCTCCCTCTCTCTCCCAGGCCCTGTAACAGTCCGCTTGTTGTCTGTTCATAGAAAAAGCAACAACTTTCCCAATCCCTCCCTCCCTCTCTCAGGCCGTGCCTTAATTATTATATGAGACTGAGGTGTGAGCTGAGATACTAACCCGGAGATAGCGGCGATTCATGCAGGAGAGAGCGGAGTGAAAAATGCTTTTGGTAATGGAATATCCACCAGAGAGGCGAGAAACTTGAGACTTCACTCTCCACAAAACAATATTACCATAGATTGACACCTAATTCTTAAACACGTGAATCAGAAATCACGGGCGTGCTTGCCTCCACTGTAGGCCTGTGTCCACCACGTTTGCAATTAGCATAATTTTTCACTAGTGACGCTGTGTTTGATAAGGATTAACACTCCAGCCCGGTACTCTAAAGGCAGCCCCCCTTTCTGTTTTTAAAGAGCTGCAAAGGGCCCTGTGTTGATGGAGCTACAGCGATAACAGCCACCAGAAATAAGGCAGAAAACCAGCCCGGATTACTGTTCGCCGGCGAGACGCGGGTTCTGTTCGGATTATGATGTTCAGTTTGGCGCGGTGAAAGGAAAGGGGGAAAATCCGAGGCCATTGTTATCACTGAGCAGGGCGTACCAGTCGACAGGGCAGCCAGAATCTCAGTGCCTGTCCATTCGCAGCCCCGAGCCTTCCACAGATCTCTGATGCTGTGCCGTCTCGCCTTTCCAAACGGAGGGATTCTGAGCAGCACACCCCGAGCCGGGGTGCAAGCAGCGACCGCACGCTGCCCTATTCCTATATTCCTTGCGATTTTTTTAAAAGGAGGGGAGAACGCTCGCTTATTGATTGCAGCGAGGCTGGATGTGAAAATATATTATGCCTGCCCGTGCTTTCCTCGTCAGAGGCTAAGGTAAGCTGGACTCAAATAGGCTATCAGTTTGTGAATGGCGGAGTGTATGTCCTAGTGATTTATGACCATATGACTCCAATCTCGGTTCAAGAAGAGTTCACAATGCTTTAAGCTTCCTTCCGCGACGCAACTGCTTTCTCGTTTTTTCCTTGCATCTCCATCCGAATGCTTTGGTTTTACTCTAATATTTATTTGCAAAGCAACGGGGGTTGGGAATCATTTTTTTGGAAGTTTGTTGGTTTTTTTGGCTTCCTTAATATCAGCGTTCTTTCAGGACAGAAGTAGCGCCTCTGTAATTCAAGATTCCGTCTCCGCTTTTACCCCGCGTGTTTTATTATATACACGCACGTATATGTCATTTTTAAATATGTAAAAAATAATAATAATTGAACGTCGGTTTCGATGTCGGAAATACAGAGCGTGTTAACGCTGACTGGAGAGCACACGCAGCCTTCATTTGTTTTCATTTTCTCGTCTCAAAACATTTTCAATATGGAGGTATGGACTCTATTTAAACGGCATTCGTTTCTTTCACTCCATGTACAGGAGCGACGTTTGGCAGGCAATTAAAAAAAAAAAGATGTACACGTTCGAAGTCAAGAGCTGAGAGATCGGAGGTCGTTTCTGTGTTTCGCGGTGACATTACTGTTCGCTGTTAACAGCCTTCTCGTTGGCCACACCGCCACTATAATCGTGTTAAAAGAAATTCAGGAGAAACTTTGTTATTGTCCCCAGCACAGGCGGAGAAAAGCCCGTGGCCCGCTTGATTGCAATAGGATATAATTTAATATTTATTATTCCTGCTGTGATTTTTCAAACAATTCCTTGGAGTAAATAATTAGGATTCCGGCCGTCTACGGGAAAGATAAATGACCGACATTTGTGACGTGTAGCGAGGTTGAAGCACAAAAGCTGGACCTCGGGCTCTCAGACACAGACACACGGCCTTCGATTGATCCCCTGCGCTCTCCTGCCCCATTATTCAACATTTTGTTTTCTTCCAATTTTTAAACGCTGTTTTACTTCGTGTTTTTTTTTTAATTTCAGGAGAATTTCCGCCGTTCGCTTCTGGGCCACATTTTAATTTTTCATTGTGTTTCCTTTTTCTTTTGTTAAACAAAAAAAAAAACATGCAGCATTTCCAAACCCCTTAATAAGACGCTTCGTTTATTTCTAATGCAAGTGTATCATCGGTTGCTATGTACGTTTTGTTGTTATTCGGAGAATTCGGTGTCACGTTGGTGAGGCTCGATGGTTATTTTTCCCTTGCTGGCCACAGTGCTAGCTGAATCCAAAGAAAGGCTATATCGGGACTATTCCATGAAATTATTTTCATTTTCCCATGTAAATTCCCGAGCTGGACCAAGCCAGTGTTTTGCATGGATTTAGCAGCCAATTAATAAAGCATTTATTTCTTCTCCTGTGAACACGTCGTCCTATTCATTGGAACAGTGTTATGAGCGAAATTAATTCAACGGCTTTTGTGTCGTGTATTAGTATTGCTGTTGATATTATTGGCTGGGAAAACGTTTTAAACGATTTTCTTATTTAACTGTTAGCGGTATTATTCAAGTCTGCTGGCAGTGAAAACTGTAACGCCAAAGTTGATTGTGATGAATAACTGTGGTAATAAAAAACAGATTATTAATGAGGAGGCGCTTAGGTGCTGTGACTGGAAGAGGGGAGGTTTTCATTGCGTTTCGGTGAACCTGGGACCATCCTTTCGACAGACCGGCCCAGCTGTTTAGTTTTATATCCCCCAGGGCCGCGGGGTCAAATTAAAACTTTGTGTTTCGCTCCCAGCTTGTGGGTATCGGGGCAGAGCCGGATGGCCAGGTGCCGCGGTGGTCGAAGGGGAGCGACCCCGGCCTTCCCTCGCCGCCTGGCGGGGTCTGTACCTTCGGTAGGAAGCGTCGAGGATGGCAAAAAAAAAACAACACACAAAAACCAGGCTTTTGCCCGACTGACCTCTCATGCATCAAATCGCGGAGCAGCGGCCGAGACTGTCTATTGCACCGCCCGTCTTTCTCTGCACATCAGGAACAAAGTTCCAAACTCGAAATGAGGAGGTTCAGGCGCCGGTTTTTCTAGTTTTCAATGTTTCCCAAATACGTTGTGTTGTAACCGGAGAAAAAGCCCCCCCCGCCCCAAACAAAAAGCCTAGAGCTTAACATCGATCAAGACTTTCTGCGCTAAGGCCCTTTACAAACCGATCGTTCTTTTCTTTAAACAGGATTCTCCCCTTCGACGTGTCAAATTTATATTTTAAGTATTTGTTGTTGAGAAAATCGGATGTATTTTTCTCCGTAAAGCGCATGAAAAAATAAAAATAACCAGCACATTCGATATGCCCTCCTCTTTCAAAAGTAATAGACAGGAACGGGCATTAATTGTTATGGTGTGACTCTTAAAAAAAAACGTTCTTTTGCTCATAAATCGTTGGAGTCACCCGGCGTCATTTCGAACATTTCCAGGCGAGTTTATAACATTTATCCACGTACACATGTTTCTGCTTATTTGAATGAAAACGAAGCAGATGCTACAGCGCCGTCACAACCGCAAGATATAATTCGTTTATGTTGCCGCTTAGGAAAAGGCGAACTCGCTTCCAAAGAAGCTTGTTTTTAGTGGAACAAAAAAAAAACCTAAAAGAGGAAAAAATATAAATCATTGTAAAGCAAAGGGAACGGTTAAATAATAATAACAACAATAAGATATTGCATTACCCACAGGTCTCAGTGTACTGTACAGGGAAGATAACATTTAGGACACACAAAAGATGTAATCGGCGTGTTTTTATTTGGAAGACGAGTATGAAAGAGCCCCGAGCTTATTCGTTACTCTGCCCAACATGTGTGCCGGCGAGAAAAGAGTCAGCCGTCAGAGACGGGCATCTGCGAGCCGGGTTTTTGTGGAAACGGCTATTCATGTCAGGAGGCTTTTCAGGGGCGAAGATGGATTCGTGCCCGGTCCGGCGTTATCGTGTGCTTCTTCTAACCTTTCAGGTCAGCTTGCAAGAGCCCGCTGGAGAGAGACGGTCACGTGACCCCTGGGGCCAATGTTCTTCCAGAAGGTCGTCAGGACCCTGGTAGCCGGTGCAACTAATTTCGGAGATGCAGAAAACGACCTACTACGACAACTCGACACTTTTCGGAGGCTACTCGTACCAAGGAGCCAACGGCTTCGGCTATGAGGCCCCCCAGCAGACCTTCCAGGCGTCGGCCCACCTGGAGAGCGACTACCAGCGATCGGCGTGCTCGCTGCAGTCCCTGGGCGGCGGCGGCGGCGGCGGCCCGCCACACGCCAAAGCGAAAGACCTCAACGGGAGCTGCCTGCGCCCCAGCCTGCCACCTGAGCACCCACAGGCCCCCCCCGTCTCCCCTCCCCAGAACCCTGCCAGCTCCGCCAACAGCAGCTCGGCGCAGCAGCCGGGCGGCAGCAGCAGCAGCAAAGCCGCCGCCGCCGCCAGCAAGGCCTCGTCCCTCCCCCCCAACCCCAACCTCACCAAGCAGATTTTCCCCTGGATGAAGGAATCGAGACAGAACTCGAAGCAGAAAAACAGCTCCCCGAGCGCAGGTACAGCTCACGGGGTGTCCTTCCCCCCCCCACCTTCCTCGCTTGATTATGACGGGGTTGTTTTTTTTTTTTGGTACCCGATTATTTTTCTACCCCCTTTCATCAGTCGAAAAACGGTGCAAACCAACGCTGTCTGGTGTCCGAAGAGAAACGGCCATGGAGCTAAATCCTGCAAGGCGATAGGCGTTTTCTTCTGTTTATTTTTGACACAGACTTAGGTAAAGGAGAGGGGGGGGTGGATACCTTTGGTGTTGCCACCACTTGAAAACCGGATGCTGTAGTGTGGGTTGTGCCTCCAACACCACAAATGATGTTGCTACGGCTATTTAGAATCATAGATATCATAAGAGGAAAACTGTCAACGTAGAAGACAAAAAGGCCTCCGTTCATCACGCGTGGACTCGCTTTTAACTGGTTTAAATGTGGTTCCGCACCTGTTTGTGGAACTGGGTGGCACCGAGCTGCCCGCAAAGGAAGAATCACACTGCACTTCTCTAATAGATAAAAGGCTGTGTTATATATGAGCTCATCACTAGTGTTAAGATATGCAAATGCCCTAATTCACCCAGCTGCCCCCCCCCCGTAATAAACTAATTTTGGCATTACCTACAGCTACAGCGCTAAATATAACATGAGAGGAATATAGCTAGAGATCTATTTATAGATATGACTGACGTCACGCACATGCAACTTACATCGCAGGTGCAGGGGAGACCCATTCGCGTGCGTCTTGCACGTGGGATCTCACCCGCGCTCGTGCTGGATAAATAAGAGACATGGGGCTGATATAGCGCCTTTAAAAGCCATCAAGTCAACTAGATGCGCGAATACAATATTGGTGCATTGCAAGGGGCTGGCGTTTGTTTTTAATACAAATTAATCGCAGGGAAAGTCGTTCCAGCTGCGTTATTGGCTATAGGGCGAGCGAAGCAATTTACATACACCAGGTCAGCGGTGGGGCGCAGATCTCTTAATAAACGCCACTGTTATGAAGAGGCGACAACTAATATAGAGGGGTTAAGTTTCCGTGCCTGTTCCCTAGTTTATTAGGAAACGATGCATTCAATTTCTGTATGTAGTAATTATCTTTTATTTCATTTCCACCCAGCGGAGAGCTGCAGCGGCGAGAAAAGCCCCCCGGGCTCGGCCGCCTCCAAGCGCGCGCGCACGGCCTACACGAGCGCGCAGCTGGTGGAGCTCGAGAAGGAGTTCCACTTCAACCGCTACCTGTGCCGGCCGCGGCGCGTGGAGATGGCCAACCTGCTGAACCTCAGCGAGCGGCAGATCAAGATCTGGTTCCAGAACCGGCGGATGAAGTACAAGAAGGACCAGAAGTCCAAGGGCATGGGCTCCTCCTCGGGGGGGCCCTCGCCGACGGGGAGCCCCCCGCTGCCCATGCAGTCCTCCGCGGGTTTCATGCACTCGATGACGGGCGGCTATGACGCGCCTTCCCCGCCCGCTTTTAACAAGCCTCACCAGAACGCCTATTCCGTGTCCACAGCCTACCAAAACCCCATGAAAAGCTGCCCTTCCCAACAGAAGTACGCCAACACAGCGCCAGAATACGACCCCCACGGTCTACAGGGTAACGGCAACAGCTACGGAACTCCTAACATCCAGGGTAGCCCGGTCTATGTCGGCGGGAACTATGTGGATTCCATGGCGGGCTCCGGCCCGACCCTGTACGGCCTGAACCACATGGCGCACCACCAGGCCAACAGCATGGACTACAACGGCGCCGGGCAGATGCCGCCGAGCCAGCACCACGGACCGTGTGACCCTCACCCGACATACACCGACCTCTCAGCGCACCACCCGCCTCCGGGCCGAATCCAGGAGGCGCCCAAGCTCACGCATCTGTAGCAGGTTTGGCACGCGAAGGGGACACTAACACGCGGGGGCGCCTGCGACGGGATCGAGCAGCAACGGCAACAGCAACGGAAAGATCCAGTGGTTTCTCGTGTCCCGCGAAGCGTGGAAATTCGGATGGCTTTTGTTTTTTTTTTTTCATTTTAAAAATAAGCGAGAGACAGAAGAGTTCCACACGTTTTCTTTTCGGTTGACGTGCAATTGTACGTGTGACGTACCCCCTGACCACCCTTTTTTTTAAAAAAAAAACAAACAAAAATAATTCAGAAACGGGGTAAGACGGGGTAATTGTAGTCGGTTAACCCAATAAAATCCGCCATATATTATATGTATATGGGCCGTGCCGCTGTGCGTGTAGGCTTTTCAGCACAAAGTCTCCTCAAGGTGATTTTGTGGTGTGTGGGGGGGCTTTTTTTTAGTCTTTCTGGTAATTTCCAGTGTTTTGTACATCGTCGCCCAGACAGAGGTTCCCAGCTAGTGAACGATCAGTCCCTGGCACCAAGGAAACCACTGGATTGTCGGCTCTCGCTTTCTTTCCTTACCTCTATCCTCTAACGTCACCTTAACTCACCCTCCCCCTGCGCCCGCGCCCACCTCCACGGATAGCGAGAAGAGAGGCGAGCAGCTCAAACTTAGTCTTCAGCACAGCGTCTACAAACGGGAAGCTAAGTTCACGCGTCACTCCCCCTGCCACCCCCACCTCTGCCCGTCTTCTCTGCTCCGAGACCCCACCTTTCTCTCTGTCTGTCTTTAGGGTTCACTTACATGAGGTAGCACCAATGCAAAACAACCCCCCCCCCACCTTTATCTTCTCTTGACTTAACGTGAAAACAGGGTATATTTGAACACAATGCGTGCCCGAGGAATGAAGCAGAAGTGAAGATGTTTCGGTTTTCGCTCGTGCTTCTTGTCCCGGCATCATTGTTGCACTTAGAGTTTACATTTTAATGGGTAAAAGAAAATAATGAAACAACTTATTTTCGAAGGAAAGACCTCCAATCAGCTCAATCGTGGCCGTCTTTCTATACGTGTGTTCGAGTGAACATTCATAAATATATATATTTATTTGTTATAGCCAGTTTAAATATTTTCTTTTTTGTATTATTTATCCCCCCCGACATTATGTATTTATATCAAGAAAAAAAAATGTACTTTTTTAGTATTGATCTGTTACGAAAGACGTTGTGTTCATGTCATTGTAAGCAAATTTCTTTTAGTTCTTGTATTCTAGGCAGATGAGTGGTTTTATGTCAGCCTTGTACATATAAATAATGTAATGAGTTATACTGCAGGCATGAGGACGGACCCAGACTGTTACTGCATAGTGGCGAATTAGAAGTCTAGCTTAACTTCCTTTTCGAAAATCTCCTTTTGTTCCTGGTAGTTACTTTTCCTTTCCTTGCTGAGAGTTGTCTGTTGAACAATTCTTTGAATAAAATTTTCTGTTATTCATTTTTTTTTTTAAATCTCGTCTTTTACGCGGCTGCACGATGCACACGCCGGGGGAATCACGACACGGTTTCTCTCTCTCCCTCTCAGACAGACACACACACACACAACTGCGGTTTCAATTTGTAAGCTCAATCCTCCTCCTCCTCCTCTCTCTACCCAGAACCGCCGGCAGGGAGCCGGAAGTGCCTCGCCGCCGTGGGTGGGTCACGTGCGCTTCAGCCAAACACTGGCTCGCTTCTGCCAGGGATGCAGAAGGCGGGCGAGAGTGAGGCACTGATTTCTCCCTGGTACAGGCCTGTCCACCCTGAAGATGTCCGTCTTCACACATCCTTGTGACCGTGGTGTGGTGCTTCCAGGGGAGATGGTCTGTGAGGAAATGTGTCTCACATAACGGTGTGGGATGCGTAGGAAAAAACAAACTGCGAGAATCAGGGGGAAAGTCTGCGTGAAATAATTATTTACATAGCGCACAAGAGTCCCCTTTTCCATGGCGCAGTCGTGTATTCTCGCAGCGGCAGGTCTTGTTTTTGATGTGTTTCCCCCCGGTTGCTGTTTTTCATTTGATATGCAAGGAAGCCATTTGGTTGAACATCTTCAACCAGCGCCGCGAAGGCACACGCCCGGCCGTCCCCCTTCTGTGAGAGCAGCAAGGCCCCTTCTCTTCAGGAATACCGTTTCAATCGCGGACAGCGTCGCCGAGGAGAGTTTTCCGAGATTCCGCGAGCATTATTTATTGATGGATCGGTGAATTGAAAATAGAAATCCCGCCCCTCGATGATTTAAAAGAGTACGCCGTCAGAGAGGCACGGAATGACCCGACTTTTTTGTTTTGTATCAATGCCAGTTTGCAGCTTTCACATTGTTGCACATTTATTTTCCAGATAAAACATGATTACAAATAACAATAAAAAAGAAACGAAATTTCAACAGACAGGACGAAAAGAACTAAGAACAAACATTCTATGCAATATTCTATAGAATGCAGATAGTCTAGCATTCAAGTAGCTGACGTTTTAGATTTTGGAGAATCGAAAGTAGTTTTTTTTCGCTAAACCCCTCAAATAAAAGCTGCGAATCCTCCGCTCCTTACATCGCCTGCTTGCGGAGTCATCTCCAGAGAGGGCCCGGAGCTGCGTTCAGGATCTCGCCCCGGCGCATTCACCGGAGCGCCTGCTTTGTGCAAGCTTTAAAACGCCTTACACGCCCACGCGAGGTTTTTTTTTTCTCCCTCAGCTTTCCTAATGCCTGCAGAACAATTCAATGGCTAAAAGCACGACATTTTGGGCCCACGCATTTAAATCTCAGAGAAACAGAACAGAGCGAAAGCATTTCTAATCTCATTTTAAAGCCGTGCTAGAAAACCTAACAGTTGCGCCAGGCACCGGTTGTACAGTAACATTTTTTAAACGTGGTGGATTCGAATTTTTTTTAAAATAATAATAATAATAATAATAATAATAGCTGTAGCTCCAAAGGAAGGGCCTCTTTTGTTGTGCTGGGAAGGAAAAGGCAGATTCTTGAGGCCAGTTTGAATTCTGGCTGTCAAGCCCTTTGCTGGGAGAAAGATTGATCACTCCTCACTATTTCGGCACGCCGTTTCTAAAAATACCCTTTCCTTTACATTTCGTTTTAAAAAAAAAACTAGTATCACAATGCCTAATGCGGTTTAAAAAAAAAAGGAAGACTTGTGTATATTTGTCCATGAAGTTTTGCCTGGCACATTTTAGCAACACAATCGAATTGAAATAAAAAAGGGAGATGCTCTCTTGTTCCTGCGACCTCCCAATGAACCCTAGGTGTTCCAGATACTGGAAATAAACACCCCGTTTTAGAAAGCCAAACGTTTCTCGACCACCGGGGCCGTGTTGCGAGACAGCACGTTTACTTCTCTGTTCTCTATGGTTGTCAGCGGCCGCTAAAAATGTATGCCGCTGCATATAACTGGGGTGAATTAAGAACAAGACTGATCTTGAAAAGCCACTTACATTAGCCTGGGTCTCGCCGTATGATCCCACTGCTCGGTTCCCTTTATGAAAAAAAAAGTGTGTAATGGTACCTCTCATCCCGACAGAGAGTGTTGCTGCCCATGCACAGTGTATGTGTGGTGTGTGTAAAAGAGAATATTCTCATTTTAAGCAGAGGGAACGTCAGGTTTCTAACCTGAAAGCCACTGTCTCGGTGCCCACAAGAGGAAGTTCTTTTAACTTCGTTTTGCCCTGTCTGTTGGTCTTGTCAGAACCTTAAAGATTAATGACCTTTGCTCATCACAATGCCCAAGGTTCGCCAGCCTGCGAACGTCTTAATCGCCCCAATTACAGTATACAACACATCTCACCGTCACCCCCACAGTCTGGCGTGGGACTCCCCACAACACTGACGCCCCGAAAACTCTCCTGCGAGAGTCAGGTGCAGACCCGAGATTTTTTATTATGATGATGATGATGAGGCGTCGGAAATGCAACTCCCTAGCAAGTGAAACAAAACCAGGCTCCTGTGTTTTTGGATCAATTGGAGAAAAGCATGCTCTCTTTTTTCCTGCAGGCCCCGAATTTGTAATTGGTCGTTTTGGATCACGTGACGAGGAATTGGTCGCATTTTCGCCCTCGTCTCCACAGTTTAGCAGCCCCAGGTCCCCATACGACAGTAATATCACCAATATACACAATTATTAAAGCCCGCAAAATATCGCAGAGCGGGACCCTCGTTATTACCCGGTGTTTTTTATTTTTTTTTTATTATTTGAAGACACCAGCCTTGCTTTCCGACCAGGAGAAGCTATGAATTTTGAATTTGAGAGGGAGATTGGGTTCATAAACAGCCAGCCTTCCCTCGCAGAGTGCCTGACGTCTTTTCCCGCTGTCCTGGAGTCATTTCAAACTCCATCAATCAAGGAGTCGACATTAATTCCTCCTCCGTTCGAGCACACAATCCCCAGCCTCAATCCCTGCACCGGCAGCCAGGCGCGACCCAGGAGCCAGAAAAGAGCTGCAAATGGCCTCTCGCTCCGCTCCCCAGCGCCGCAAAGCCCAGCTGCTCCGGCGACCGCGGGGCCGGCGGCGGCCGAGTTCCCGTGGATGAAGGAGAAGAAGTCGTCGAAGAAGAGCCAGCATCTCGGGGCTGCCGCCGCCGCCGCCGCCTCCTCCTCCTCCTCCTCGCCCTCGCCCTCCGCGTTCGCGGCAGCGGGGCTGGACTCGCCGGCAGGTCGGTGCCAGAATTAAAGCTGTCAGCTTTGCTGTTATTTGTAAGAAAAGAGAAAAAAAAGCCGCAGACCGTGAAGGTTTCTAGCACTTTAATTCGGAGAGACTGCACGAAAGGATTTGCCTCGGTGACAACACTAGCTCTTTCCCTGCTAGGAGATATAAATATAGCGTGCGAGACGCAGTTTGTACTTTTCACACGGTGACACGGTGCCACCGGCTCCAAATGACAACGAAATAAGACATTTCTGTGCATTTTTTTCCCCCAAGACGCTTTTGTTTGCCTGACCAAATGAGCAGAGAGAAGGAGGGTATTTCATGGGTGGTGTAACCCAGTGTAACCCAGGCAGGCATTCCCTCTGTGTGAGGGCAAAATCGGTCCCTTTTAGTTTAGGTTGTTTTTTTTTTCCCCCGTTGCATTTATTTAGAAAATCAGTCGTTCGATATGTTTACTGAACACCCTTTTGAACTGTGATGGCTCATTCAAAGAAAATCTAGCGACAAGGGTCATTATTTTATTTTTCGTGGGGAACTGCACAATGCATTGACACAAGCAGATATGTGGACGCGAAGTCATGTTTCGATGTACCTGAAAAGAAGCCGACAAAACTGTTGTCTTCAAAAAAAAAAAACGAATCCCTCTCGGTTATATTCATCTCTCAATCCGTTACACTGATACAATCTCGGAATTTGATGGTCTCCAAGTGTCTTAAAGGAAACAAAAAACACACACACAACCTCTGAAGAGGAAGAAAGAGCTCTGGGCACAACTGAAATTTGGCTACAGAAAGGACGTTTGCGTTTCTAAATCATTTCTCTTTATTTTTTGGAAGAGGTGTGTGCATCGGACTTCCTATGCACACATTCCTGTATAATTACATAACGGAGCACAGGGACAGATTGATGAATCGTTTTATGATTTGTTGGAGAATGCTTTCTAGTTACTTATTTTAATGACAGCTAAACAGCACATTTTTTCCATGTCTGATTCTGTGGTTATTTCGACAGCTGGATGTTTTATTCTTTTTTTTTCTTCCGTTTTTTTTGTTTCTTTGCAGAGTCTCAGAGCGGGCTGGAGTCCGGCGGCGGGTCCCGCCGGCTGCGGACCGCTTACACCAACACCCAGCTGCTGGAGCTGGAGAAGGAATTTCACTTCAACAAATACCTCTGCCGGCCCCGCCGGGTGGAAATCGCCGCCCTGTTGGATCTAACGGAGCGTCAGGTCAAAGTGTGGTTCCAGAACCGCAGGATGAAGCACAAACGGCAAACCACGCACCACAGGGAGGGCCAGGATGGAGACCCGGGCGGGTTCGAGTCCGCGGAGGGCGCGGAGCCGGCCTCTCCCTTAGCCGGCCAGCCCCTGGACGTTTCGGGCCCGGCCGCGCCCGAGAGCGAAACGCGCGAACCGTCTTCCTCCTACGCCAGCGGCCAGGACGGCGAGCGGCCCTCCCCTGAGGAGGAGCAGCAGCAGGGCCGCCGCCAGGACCTCGCACCGGGCCCTGACAAAGCTGTCAGGTCGCCTGAGCTCCCCGCGCCCACTCACGATAACCCCACAACAATGAGCCAGGGCCGCGCATCTGGCCCGGATAATGCGTTTCCCGAGCCGCAGGACGCCGCCTCCCTCGCCGAGCTCAATTTCTTCTCCCCCGACTCCTGCCTACAGATCTCAGATGCTTTATCGCCGAGTTTGCGGAGCTCGCTCGACAGTCCGGTGGATTTTTCCGAAGAGGATTTCGACTTCTTCACGAGCACCCTCTGTACCATCGACTTACAGCACTTTCAGTTTTAGGACAGAAAGGGGCAGAGAAGCGACTTTCGTTCTCGAAATTGTAGACTCTCGTAGTCGCCTCAGCTGCAGGAGCTCACCCATATTTCACCCCTAGAACACAGACTTTCATTATCCGGGTTTCCAGTGTAAAACGAACTCGTACGTTATTTAAATGGGATAGAGACTCTACAAATATTCGGTTTCTTACAAGTCCAATCATGTTTTGACTTTCTTGGAAGTCTCTTTTTCCGAACTTCAGGTATTTAATTTTTTATTTTATTTTGCATTTTATTTTATTTTTTTAATTTATATTTATTGGCGTTAGAGGAAGGAGTCGAGAACAGTGTAGCCTACTCAATCGATAAACTCTCAGGAAATAAATCAAAAAAATGTGACTGGATAGCGAGCTGCTTTTAGAAATTCTCTCGAAAAGGGTATTGTCCCTCTTTCTGGGTTTTAGAACTAGTTTATTTATTGAGATTCTTTAATAGTAAAATGCAAATTATTTATTGTACATTATTTTCATAGATGAAATAAAACCTTTATAAGCTTGATGAAAGTGTGTGTTTGCATTGTGTAAAAATATTTAGGGTTTGAAGTCCCCGGTGAGCTAAAAGCATTTCACATTAAGTTAGAACATGATTCCAAAAAACAAATTCTGTGAAATTTTTTAATGATTTTCGCACAGCAATATTTTGGTTAATTTTTTATTTTTTTTTAGATTGGCATACTAATAATTTCTTGCTCAAATTAGAACAATCCAATTAGACTTCTATTCACCAAAATATAGCGAACATTTTGATAACGATGGAAAGTCAGAATAGCTGGTCTGCGTTGTTTCATTAATGTATTTGTTTTGTGTAGAATGTGCAGAATCGGAGCTT